ATGTACGTACAGGCTTGATCACATACAACCACAATAGTTATGTACGTACAGGCTTGATCACATACAACCACAATAGTTATGTACGTACAGGCTTGATCACATATGACCACAATAGTTATGTACGTACAGGCTTGATCACAGAATATTCATTCAATGGTCCACTTGCTTAAATAATATGAATAATTATGAGTATAAAAGTATAATTATTCTAAAATTAAAAAATAATTACAATTTTGTGAAAGATAACCCAAGTCACTAATGATCAAACTTACCCATTCATTTGCAGTAGAAACATTTCTATACATTTTGCCAATGGGTATCATGCCGTAGTCTGTCCCAATAACCAAATTCTCTTGAAAAAAACGTCCAAAAGTGAAATGTGTCATCATGTCATATAATCTCCATGCTTTAAGTTCATACTCGCCGAAAGCATCACCATTTTCATCGATGTACGCTTCTCTAGCTAACTTGCCTGGAAATACAGATCAGATTTTTTCTACTAAATATTTCAGTCTGGTTTCATGAGAAAATAATATAATGACATAAAAGCTTGAGATAATGAATCAGACCAAAATTTTTCATAGAACACGTGTATAAATAAATACATTCTAAACATGGCCAATTACAAATGAATTAAATAATAATTTAAAAAATAATAAAATAAAGTGCTAGAAAATGACAACTTACTTTGGTATGTGCTATCAAACACATGTGACATTACTTCCCTACCATCAGTTATATCGCCCCCTTCGGCGATTGTCTGATTCAATGCAGAACAGAGCTGCATGACTGCATCATATAGAAAAAAAGCTCTGTTGTCTACCTGGGAAAGGTAAATGCAAAAAAAAAAGTTATCTTTAATTAGAACTGTTTTCAAATGCAGCAAATTAAATTGCCGTGCCAGATTCTGAAACAAAACAAAACTTCTTGATTTAATTCTGAAAAATGGTTTGATATACTCACTCCAATGCCTAAGCCACCAAATATATACTCTGTCCGTCGGGAGTACTGATCGGTAAAGGCAACATAGTCATCATAATCAATCAAAGGAAGACGAAATTCAACCACCAAGGAATATTTGATTGCCTCCATTGCTATATCATTGTTGTCTATGTCAAACACTCCTAGATGATAAAAAATAAATACTTATTCTAGTTAATCCTTCGAGTACTTTTTAATGTCAACTTTAGGTACCATTCACAAAATAGTTCCACATATAATGTTGCGAAAATTTTAATTTTTTTTTATCAAAAGCTCGAAGTAATATATTACGTGTTGTTTGTTGGGTTCAAAATGAAGATGGAATTCAGTGAAATTTACAGAAACTGTGAACAAATTTACCTATATTTGAGGGGGAAAAAATTTAGTGCTCAAAGGGGGATGGTAGTTTGCTAATAAATGGAGGATATTAACAAAGATGAAGACAATTTTTTTTTGTCAAAAGTCAATTTTGAATAACATGGCTAAAAATCAAATTTGACTGTTACAGCATTGGTGAGTTAAAGCGCATCTCTGCAATCCCAGGGATTGCACCAGTGCATCATGGGAAGTTTAATTTGCATGGTCCACCCAGTTGTTTACTTGGTACACAGCTGTTATCACAGTGCATCAGTACAGCAAGTACCTTTTACATATCCTTGAAGACCAGGAAAGGTTATGTCCACCGATGTTGTCACTACCATCGTATCATCTCTAGAAAACACGCCTGCTTTGTATAAGTTTACAATAAAATGTCGGTGATGTACCAAGGAACCAAGAAACAGGTAAACTTGAAAAGAAAAAGATAGAAGTTCAATGTTGTTAAACAGGGAATTTAATTTCTGATTGTTTAAAAAACTGCACAATTATTTTCCCCTGCAGCAGAACAATCAGCAAATGAGATTTATCAAATCTGTATAATATTTCAGCAATAAATTTATTTTTTCAAAAAAAAATTCAACAAAGGTTTATAAAACTCACTTCTTGTAGTTTGTCTGGTTTTTCTAATTGTGTCATCCCAATCATAGCTGTACATCGCCATTCCAGGAACATAGTTCCCCGGAAAAGGCCTGTGGTTAGTTACTTCAATGTTGTTTTTCTCAAAGAGTTCAAAAACCGTGTCCGTCATACTGACAAAGTTTGGATCATCAGAACTGACGATAGTACAACGCCTCCAATTATACTCCTTGAACACCTCCACAATCGCATATGCAATTTCAGAAAATGAAGGTTTGGTTCTTGCGTATGTGGAATAGATAGACTTGTCAGAAACTTCTTTCTCATCACACAGCTGAATAAATTAAAATCAGCATTATAGTAAAGAGGGCAGCTGCATTTTTTGGTTTTTACCTTTCAAACTATATACTTTTGTGAACATAATGGAGTGAAATGTTTTACTCGGCATATGTAAACAATAACTCAACCATAATACATACTATTATCAAAAAGATATAGGATCAAAATTATGATCTGTCCACCTGTCTCAGACAGGCAGATTGTAACGGAGACATGTATATGTAGTAATTGTAGAAAATGTGCCTGTGGACAGGTGATTAAAAATATCACATTTTACTAACTGACCAAATGTGATAGGTCCCAGTTGCTAAAGTACACAAAATAGCTTTTAGAGTTTTTAAGACCTATGAAAAAATGTAGAACCAAGAGGGAAACTTTTATTTCAAATAATGCTGTAATTTATCTTGCTAGGGACAAGTACATCAACTGGGACAAGTACTTTTATTCTCCAATCGGCCCAATGCAGGCAATTCTGCTTTAATTCTAACCCCTGAATATACTCATTTAGTACCATAAAGATAATTTTGGATCAGAAAATATATCGATTAAGTTGAAATATAAAAAAAAAAATAATAGTATTCATAATGATTTTTAAACGTGTTATTACTTACATAGTCAATCATCGCCATGTTCAGAGCCGATGCGAATCTAGCTTCGAATGCACATGTATTGCCAGGTCCTATAATTCCATGGTAACGATTTTTCCGAAACCAAGCGATAGTTTGAAGACCTTTGTTAATCCTAGCATACGAATCCCCCCAATCATATTCTACACGATATCCTGAATACAAAATAAATAAACAAAAAATGAATGGTTCACACTAGATACTGGTACAGTCAATACAAGTCTGCTGGCATGACTCAATGTCCAAATGGGCGCCAAAGTTTTAGCCAAGTTCCTCCGTCTGTTCCGTTTAGGGAATTAGGATTCTTAGAAATTATTTTGTAAACACGATCAAATTTCAACCATTGAAATGGACCTTGTCCCCTTTTTATGTAAGCATTTTGTGATTTTCAATAGGTCTAATACGGGAAGTCTTACCGTCAACAAATCCTAAGTCATTTGCGTGCTCGATCGCCATATCAAATGCGCCAGCCATTGGATCTCCCAGAGTATACATCGTCATATGGTACGGGTCAGTGAGAGGTACCAGAAACCCAATTTTCAAGACTTTATCGTCATCGCCAACACACTGTGTTGGTCTTAACAGACTGACGAACAGAAATATCACCACAATTCTGGGGGAGATAGGAAATACACCCATGTCTGAAGTCGATTTCGGTCGCGAGTCACGACCAAAACGAACTTATCCCGAAACGCACAGCGCGGTTTGACGACGCGTACATCACGTGCATTAATATCACCACAGGTGGCGCTCTTCGACACTAACAATCTGCAGTCATCTTTTAATTTCCCTACTTTCCTTTGTATTGATTAGCATACTTCAAAAAGCCCATAAAATAAATATCGCGGAAATTGCTAAGTTACTCATCGACAACTATTGCCACGGGACACCGTAGTCTGAAGGATATTTGAAAATGGTATGGAGGTGAAATTAAAATCAGAAGATTCAAGAGAAAGATTGACTCATCTTCGCCAGCCAGTGGTCATTTGTTCGGCCATCGCCTCACCACTACACGGACTTTAAATATATGAAAACGGATTTTAAAAACAAAAATGGATTTTTAAAACGAAAATCAAACAATTGTTTTTAAAAAAAAAAACAGATTTCAGAAACGAAAGTGGGTTTCAAAAATCGATTTCAGAACTGAAAATGGTTGTTTAAAAAAGGATTATAAAATAAAAATGAATTTTCAAAATGTAAATGAATTGTAAAAATGGTTTTATAAAATGCCATGTTGTTGGTCACCATACACTTACTAGACTATTTTTCATATTGTGCGCAAGATGTTTACATACACCTAACCCGCACCTGGTTGGTAATTACCGAGGGACTTTGCAACATTCCCAGACACTTTCCTAGACACTCCAGTAACCGTTATAGTCGCAATAAATTTACATACCCACCTACGTGCAGTTAATGCCTTTGATATGTAGTTGAACTATTCCATTGCTTTGTAGGTACAAACAAATCCATTTCAGAACCGAAAAAGGTTGTTTAAAAATGAATTGTAAAAATTGTTTTCATGTTGTGGTCCACCTCGGTTGCCGTATAGGAGAGTGTACCTTTTTAGGATTTGTTTAAGGAAATTATAGAGATCTTTTGAACCACAGGAGCTCGGTGCGTTTCTTGGATAATAAAAAGGACCTAAAGTGGAAACGTACCGAGCGACTGTGATTCAAATAGGATCCCCATAATTTTTTTTATCTTTTCTGCCTACTGGTGGCGCACTATACTGGCGAAAAGCACTCAAGGCCGACAAGGTCAGGATATGGGTTGGTATGACCATGAGCTGTCCTAAGACTGTGATCTGACAATACGTGACGAACAACTGAGAGGTAAATTTGTACAAATGATACGTGTCTAACCCTGTTTGAGAGTGTATTG